GACTTCTCCGGGGCTGACATCACCAGGGTGTGCAAGGAATGAGAAGACATGCCCCATGGACGATTGTTCTGTTGCGATGATTTTGGTGTTGAGTCAAGACTTGTACCCCTTGAGTCCTGCAGTTATGGCCATTTATTAGTTATATTATAAGTACTTATAACCCCATTTATAGAATGTATAATCCCATTTATAACCAGTTATAACTGGTAAATGGCCATAACTGTGGAGTTGCAATGTTAAATGTCGTGAACTGCCCTTGCCCTTGACTGTCTTGACACTTGAACTGCCACAGCTATCTCACTATGTTTGGTCACAAAATGAGATACCCGTGTTGGTAATCAAAATGGGGTGTACCTCCTTGTTCTGGTTGAATAGGGATTGTTTCCCAAAGTTATAACTTACAACGCCTTACAACCAACGATCTGAATACCAACCGCAATCGACCGTAGCCCACCAATATTTCATGGGATGAGGTAGTGGTATTTTGGGGGGCTAACTCATTTAAAAACCCCAATGGAAGTATTTTCGCTAGTCCCTTTGCTTCACTTTCCACGGTTGATGGTGGAGGCAAACAATATTCCCCACGTCCCCAGACAATGAGCTGGACATCTGTGTCGAATCGCTGCAGGAAATCAAGTCAAGGATTGTCAGTTTTCAACTGGATGATGGTGCGATGGGACTGGGAGCCCATTGTGACCATTGTGGCTGCTGTTGTTGTGCTTCTACCTGCTGCAGTGGTGGTTTTGTTGCTGTTAAACCCGTTTCTGAAATGTGTTTTCTCATTGAAAAGCGCCGGTGCGGTCGGACTCACTCAGATTTCACAAATAGATTTCATAAATGTCATAAAGATCATTAAGTCTCCATAAGTCTCCTTGAATTTGGGGTTCTATTCACACATTCCCTTCCACCTTTTCAGTTGGGAACAGGATCCGAGTGAAAATTTTCTAGGGATCCCGAGTAGGCAAAGTTACATGTAGAAACTATATGGATTATATGGATTATATACATGGATGCACTAGTACCTTTTCATAGCACTTATATAATTTATATAATTCAATTTTCCAATTTTCGTCCCTGTTTTTTTTGTCACTGTGATATCTGTGGGTTAAGTCTTTGGGGATCCTGCGGGGGGATTACAAATGATCCATGTTGGCGGCTGAAGATATTTTGTTTAACCCATACTGAGTATAGGCCTTTTACAGTTGTAACTGAAGTGGTACTTACAATTATTTTTGTAACAGTTTTTTACGTGACTTATAGCAGTTATGTTAGCACTTATAAGTCATGATCTGACCAGTTATAAGTCTTACTTATAACTGGTATAACTGTTTTTGTAACTGTTATAACTGTTGTTTTTCTATTTTGTAACTGTTATAACTGTTTGGAAGTGAGGAAATGCCAGGAATAGAGCATGCCGATAATCACTTACACGGTATTATTTGAGCTGTGGAAAGGAAACTCAGCAACCAAAGATGAATCATGACGAGCACAATCATGAAGCTGGAGAATTTGATTTTATTTGTTTTCCTGCAACTCATGAATCCACAGAAAAATGCATGTTGCAACAACTTTGGCTTGGAACATATGCATTGATTCAGCAACACAGCATGAAGTCAAATGCAAAAAGAGCAACATAAACAATGAATACAAACAACTATCTATCGATAGTGTATTTTTCATATCTGTGTCAGTAATATGAAATGTAAATAGTAAATTTCAAATATTCACAATTAATTTAAGGCTTCATTAATGTAAATATTGAATTTCAAATATTCACAAATCTATGATAAATGTGTTTCAGATTCGGTTTAGTTAAGCTTTTATGTTTCATTTTTTGTTCAGAAACGACTTTGAACTTAAACGCGTACAATGTTTGATTTGGATTACTAATGATTACTATTTTTTGCAAAAAAATATAAAGTTAAAAAAACAAGTAATAACATATTATTTTTGCTTAACTAAATTACTAAATTGAATTAAGTTTAAAGATCAAATGGTTCAGAATAAAGAATATTGTTAATTAAATATGTTTAAGCTTATAAAAGCTATATTTCAGTTGGAACTAAACCTAGTTAAGTTCAGAAACAAATCTGAACTTATCTCTCTCCCAGTCTGAACTAAACCTAATTAAGTTCAGAAAAGTGGTTGAATTTATCTCTCTTCCAGTCTAGTTAAGTTCAGACATGTTCAGAACTTAACATAATTACAATTTAAATTATTTAAATTAAAATTAGCTAAGTTTAGATCTTTTTCTGAACTTACAATCTCTCCTAGTCTGAACTAAACCTGGTTAAGTTCAGAAAATGTATGAACTTACCCCCCTTCCAAACTAAACCAAGCCTTGTTAAGTTCAGAAAAAAATCTGAACTTACCTATCTTCCAATCTAAACTAAACCTAATAAAGTTTGGATTTTTCTGAACTTGTGTATCTTTTAGTCTAAGCTAAACCTTGCTAAGTTTGAACTTGTTTGAGTTTATCGCTCTTCCAATCTGAACTAAACCTTGCTAATGTCCAAAACTACCTTTAGTTATTGTAGGTTTTGTTTAAACTAAACCTGGTTTTGGTTTGTGTAAATATATTGCCTGAATCAAAGCACAACTTAGTATTTGTTTTATTATATTGTTGTCCCTCCTTTAATATTCTAAGATTCTAAGTGCTGTCACTGTCAGAAGACAAAAATCGTGCAACAACACCCACAGCGACGACTCAAGAAACCATGATGAACTATCCATGACATACATCAAGCAAACAACATCACAATCCATGCAACAACACAGCAAGAAACCATGATACACAATCCATGACATACATCAAGCAACAGATCACAATCCATGACACACATCAAGCAAGACGTCACAATCCATGCAACAACGCACCCAACAATGCACATTGCATGACCCAAACCAAGCGACAGTTGACAATCCATGCAACAACAAACAACGTGATAGAACAACTCCATGGCACACATCAAGCAACAAATCAAATCCATGAAGTGCAACATTAAAAAAAAATCACTGCATAAGAAAACACATGCACACGAAACAAGCTACATCAGTTCACCAATGAAAACTGTTTGTGTTTAACTGTTGTTCCTCCTTATCACAACTGATATTAACTGTTTTTGTAACTGCTATAACTGTTTTAACTGGACTTATAAGTTCAATTAAAGCAGTTACAGAACAGTTGTATAAATGCGTTAAGTATGCTAACTACAGTTATAACTCACTATGCACTTATAAATAGTTATAACCTACTTATAACCTACTTATAACCTAACTTATAACCATATCTGCCATATCTCCTCACTCGTGTCCCTTAGGGCCTTATCGGATAACTATCCAGTGGCGACAAAATTCCCTGTTTTTTTATGGGCAAATAGTTGGAGCTACGAATCGAGTTTCAGCAGATGATTTTCCTTGAGCGATATGAATCTCAGCAGGGAAAACCTGACTGGTCAGGGTTGAAACCTGACAATCTGAAAAGCAATACGGAAATACCGGCATTCCCAAATGGTGTACGACTATCATCGAGTATCAATCCATGAGCATCCCCGAAAAATCCTGGCTGGTTTACTCTTGAAGCCATAGCCCATTTAGTTCGATGATGTACCTACGATAAACGGGGCTTTCCATAGTCATGTGGCTACCCCGATAGCTGGATTGTTTATCATTAAAAAACATTTTAAAAAAGCAATTGAAATGGATGATTCGGGGATCCTACATTTTTCGAACCCCTTATGTTAATGGTGATTCCAGTTCGCAAAGTCCAAATTATGACCAAAGGGGGGCTTACCAAAGGGATTGCACGAGGGTAGCGAGAGGCATTCTGCTTGGGGTTTTCTGAACTGTTCGACCGCAGCCAAGATAAGTCTTACTTAGAGCTGTAAAGTCTCCGAAAAGTTGACTGCTGGAAACGATAGCAGGCAGGAATTAATGGTTGGTTCCAAACATGTTTTCTGTTGTCTGTTGGATGGAAAAAGACAGTTTGGACGATTATGATATATGATAATTCTGGCTCCAATCGACATATTTTTGGTGTGGCTCAACCACCAACAATGTGATTGAAAATCGCATGCTTGCAACATGTTTTGGGGCCCCTCTTTTTCGCGTGTTACATGGAGACGCAGCATACGCTTGCAAGCATGAGAATGCCAAATCAGAAGACCGTGCGGCACAACGTGGTTCACTTGGGTGCCATGGCCGCACAGTTCCAATTTGGATCAGCTGTGGATCATTTGCCGGCACCTGCTAGCGGCATCTGAATGTTGTGGATGTTCCATACCTTTTCGAAAAAGATAAAAAGATAGTCAGATAGACAAGAACAGTTCTTGGATGCTGGTGTCCCTCACTTCCATACCTTTCGCAGTTTTTGAGACCTTGGCAAGTCCGAATGATTGTCTTAGCATGTCTTAGCATGACTATACATAAGCTCCACTTGCAAGCATCCCCATCTTCCTGGTGAAACATATTGTTCGTTTATGTTCGTTTCATCCCCATTTTCCTGGTCAAACATGTATTGTTTGTTCTTCATCGTTGGGTCTCCTTATCAAGTTCGACCATGGGACGATGTTCCAGTCAAACTGTATGATGATCATAGCAGCAACGATAGTAGTCATGACAATGATAATATGGCTATGGATCAATACCTATTAATACCATTTTTAGGGGGATGAACATCCATAAATCCCAGCTATTTTGATGTGAACAGAAGGGGTACAAGGTTTTGACACACTGCCATATGTTTATTTAAAATGATCATAATAGTAGTACTGACAACATAGTAACGACAGCAATCGTAATTCCCAGAAATATCGTATTTATATAAAAAGTGCAGTAATATTGATTCCAGTAACAATAACAACATACATAACACTCATATTCTTGGGATGGGAACATGTTCACCACCAATCACTACAAACACAACATGGTGATCCTGGGGTTGTTCAGTTGAACATCCCTTAACCAAAGATTTTTGTTGACATGGATTTTCGTTGCGCCAGGGGAAGACACATCACGAGATGTGCCAGCAGTTTCGGAAGGTCCGCCCGGCGCCAGATTTTGTGTTTCTGGGGAATTGACCGGGGTGAAACGAATTGGCAGTATGTCAAAACCTTGTACCCCTGTATTGATCCATACCCAAATGGCGTGTGGTCGACAAATCAGCCACAAAACAACCACCGGACATGACGCGTAAAGAAATGGCAGCCGAAGATGTGCTGAAATGGTCAAATCGACCATGAAATCACCAGCATTTCACAGCTACCTGGAGGACATGCTAGCGCTGTGCCATTGTGATTGGGTTTTGTTGGTAACCGGTTAAGCTGTTGACCATGGCAATGACCATCCAAAGATCCATGAAGTATAGAGATAATCAGTGATAATTTGATTCAGATCTACCATAAACCATAGAATTTGGGTGCCCAACCTAGTATGTTTGATGAACTCGAGCCACTGGTCACTGGAGTCCTATAAACGTCTACAAAACACCAGCTGACTAAATTTTGCAAAAGCTGTCGTGAGTCGTCACTGGGTGAAAGCGCCAAGTTTGTCTCAGGTAGCACTTTGTTGCCAGGCGGAAGAAGTGAAATAAACACATGTGATGCCGCTTGCAAACATGATGTTTCCAACTGTGCCAATGAGATTTCGCTTGTATGCTGGAAGAAACACTTTGTGGAACATCTGCACGAAACCATGCTTGTGTTTACCACTAGATAAGGAGCTGTCGAGATCTGTAACTTCTCTGGCATGGGGAAATTTCAAAATGATCTCCTGGCTTTGTTTATATCTGTGACTTCCTTTGGTTGTCTCATGTTACCGTAGAACGGTGGTGACTGGGAGGTCCCCCCGAGACATGACACGGGGAAACCACCTCTAAGAACCTGCGCTGCAAGGGAAACCATCTCATCACGGCGTAGACAAAGTTGCAATCTGTACACATTTACACAGCAATTTACAGTTAAGAACTGTACAAATGCCGAGTGGGGAGCCAGCAGATGCGACCAAGGTCACAGCTCCATTTCAAACACAGCAGGATGATCCCAACTGACAAATGAGGTTGTTTGCAACTATGGTACCACAAAGCCCGGTATAGTCTTCAAAAAAAATATAATATGTTCTATAATCCTCTCCCCCCAAATACTAAACGCGGCCCCCCGCAAATAATAAACACTTCAGGAAGTTTTTATATGTTTTTATTATTAGGGTGGTATTTATTATTAGAGAACCAAAGCAGACCCCAATAATATTTTAAACCCTTATTTAAAAAAAAAACATGTTTTTTCGATTTCAAAATCAATTAATTAAATGTCCTTTTATAACGCAATTAAAATATTGCCAACAATTGGACTTCGCAGCGGACCCTAATAATAAATTTACATCATTTTTAAAAGGACTATTTTTTTCGATTTCAAAATTGATTAAATTTCCTTGTTTAACGCAATTGGATTTCGAAGCCTCCGCCCTAATATTAAATTAGAAACCTTAATATAAAAATCTAAAATTTTCAGACGGACCCTAATAAAAAAAACACCCGGGGTTGACAAATTAAGTTTGTATTATTAAGGGGTGAAACCTACAAATCGATACAAATAGTAGCTTCATTTTTAATTTGTTTTCTAAAGTGGATCAATTAAAAGTCAAATTGGCCAACCTGAAATTTTACAAAATTGGAGATGGACCCTAGTTTTTATTGTTCGGGGGGGTAGTAATAGGAGGAAGGGATTAATCACATCATATATGTTATATATAATAATATATATATATACAGATATATGCACTACTTTTTTTCCTGGATTCCTCCATTTTTCCTTTGTCCAATTTCTGGTGCAGGTCGTAAAGTCCGCATCGAAGGTGCGGAAGGTGCGGCGGCTACACCGCTGGAGGAGTTCCGAAGACTGCTGGGTCAATTGGAGCAGCAGATGCTCGACGGAACGGGACACGGAACGGGGCACGGAACGGCATGGGCCATCGCAAAATCTTGGAGATGTTGGTTGGTTAAGTCAAAACCGTCATGCAGCTACTATATATATATATATATATCCGGGATTGGATAACGCCTACAGAAAGGGGAGGACTTGGGCTACAGTACAAATTGCCAGCCAGGGGTTGTTTTGTACAAAAAATGGGCTTGTGCCAAGCTTTTTGTAGTTTCATTCATTTTGTAGCGTTCGGAAATCGTTCGGAAGTTGTTCATTTCAAATCCTCATTTGCATTTTGTAGTTGTATATATTGAGTTAGTTGAAGCATCCAACATAAAATCTAATTTGCATTTTGTAGTTGCATATATGTTGAGGAAGTTGAAACATCCATAAAATATAATTTGCATTTTGTGGCTCCTCCAGACTTGACCAAGAACAATTTGTAGTTTGCAACGGGACAAATATTCACATCCTCCACCGGTGCTCCCAAATAAGAACAGTAATTGAAGACGCTGCCAGTGCCTAACCTACAATTATTTTTAACCCGCTGCCAGTACAGAATGGTATCTAACAACTGCATGGGGTCAACATTTGATCCAATCAAATTCAATCAATGACAACTACAAAATGTTTTCTCAAAAGTATGTTGGTCGGAACTTTGGATGGCATAGACCTAACTACAAAATGTTATTGGGAAATTTCATGTTGGAATTTCCGATTTTCAGCTATTTTTCAACTTCAGATGCATAGCTTTTTGTAGTGCATATCTTGAATTGTTTTCTGAATCAAATCAGGGTGTGCTCTGCATTTTGTAGGGCACCTGTGCAGCCAATTTTGTAGTTGCAGGTCGGATGCATTGTGTTTTGTACCTAGCTCTGCACAACTCCTCCCCCCTTATCTGAACCCCGATCTATATATATATATATATATATGTGTGTGTGTGTGGTGATACAATGAGGGGTATGAAATAACAATACTGGGTATATGGTGAAGTACAATCAACAACTGGTTATTCAGAGGTGAATGGAGGGAGCGGCAAACGGAGCTAGGGTTGTATCCAAATTCCCCAAAAAAATGGGGAGCCAAGGAGCTGTGAATTCAGCTTCCCAACAACATGATAGAGAAGATCTTACAACTTACAGTACAAACTAAAGTGAAAAAGGACATTTGTGCAAGATGTGAATTCAGCCATTTTGCCATGAACATTTGACATGATGCATATATATATATATACATATGATGTAAGCGAGGAAAACCGCAAGTTTTTTCCTGGTTTGGATAATTAAGAGCAATCTCATTGGCGCAAACACACCACAAATGATAGTTGTCTTGGGGAATGGCGATAATGTGCAAGCATGATTGTCATCATTGCCAATATATTTGCAGCTGTTGCTGGCATGCTTGTGGGTCAAAACAGTATGAAAACATCCCAACAATGGGCACTTCACATTGAAGGTTGGTCAACTCTGACTCAAGGTTGGGCACGAATCAGATTTTTGCACTTGATGTTTCCGTGTTTCTTCGGTTCTATACTGACCCTTCCTGTTTGCATGCAAGGCAACAACGAAAGGGGCCATCAGTTGTAAATTTGCCAGGGAGGAAAACTCTTGATCAGCTTGTTTGAGATACTTAGCCTAGAGGCCCCAACTCTCCACCTGCTTTTGCTCGCCAAGCCTAGCTTCAAACAGTGCGAAGTCTTGCTCTTGTCATCTTCATACAAACCAGTTTTGGGCTGGCGCGGCTCCACATTCACTACAGTTATGGCCATAAAAACCAGTTATAACTGGTTATTTCAATGGGATTATACATTCTATAAATGGGGTTTTCTAAGTACTTGTAACTAATAAATGGCCATAACTGTATCACCGTTCCCATTATGCCATCCCTTTCCCATCCCATCATCCCGCGGCGAGGTATATGGCGGCTCTTTCCTCGAAGCTGAGCCGAAGATGGAGCTCCCAAGGGGGGTGAACAAAAGCCGCCTGAAGTATGCTTAATTCATGTTATATAATGTTACATAATTGCAAGGTGGTGCTCCAAAGTTAAGTTGATTCACAAGTTGGTTGGCTAGCTTTTATGGTGTGTATATATATATCAGAAGCGCATGGGGTTTACACAAGTTTACAAACCAAGAAACATAACTTGGAGGCACCGCCTTTCCAAGTATGGCTGGGCGCTGTATATTCCTAAACTCTGGGATTCTTAACTCAGGTAAGTGGTCAGCAAGAATCGGGGAGATAAGTAGAAATCATGGGGGATCAATGGGTGTAAATGCAGCAATTGCCATCTGCTAATCTCACATGGCAATGGAACATACGCTTTATATAAATGGACATGTACGGTGCATGTTGGCGGGTCTCTACCATGTTCAGACACACTAGAAAAAAACTCACTGATTGGTGGTTTCAAACATTGTTTATTGTCCATAATATATGGGATAATCCTTCCCATTGACGAACTCATATTTTTCAGAGGGGTAGGGCTCAACCACCAACCAGATTATTATTAACCATCATTAACCATATAATAACCATCATCATTAACCATTATTATTAACCACCAACCAGTCATCATTACAAACTCGCTCAAGGCGCACTAGTCTTGGTGGTAGCAGGTAGCAGTTTCTCGCCGGGTCCGAGTTGTTTCACCATGACCCCCAGGGCCCCTGACCAATTCTCGAGGTGGAGAGCCCCGTGTGACTTAAACCAGTGGCAGGATGTACCAGTGATAACGGGGGTTTATCCAACACAGAATGAGAAAGTCGATCAACTGACCATGAAACACAAGCAACAAGTTTCTTAACCAAAGATCAGGGATATATATATATATAACCAACAATGATGCCGTTGTTTGCCTCTAAGTTTGTTTTTTTTCCCTAGCCAATGATGAGTTGGTTCCCATGAAACTTCCAAATTGGATGGTCACCATGGCGAGCCGTCGGCGCTGTCGCCGAGGAATGTGCAGAATGCCCAGGGTCCCCAGCGTCCCCAGGGTCCCCATCTCAGAGGGATGTCGAGCTTTTAACCGCTCCATGGATGACAGAAATTGACCAATGACACGGGTGGTGGTGCCCCAGTTCGTGAACGCCAAGTTGGTGCCAATAACTCCCATTTCACGATGGTTTATGGATGTTTATGGCAGATAAACCAAGTTTTTTTCTGGGGGGCACCATCCTGCACCAACATTTATCCAATTGCTCATCCACATGTAGGATAATCATGGTGAATTTAATTGTGAATTTAATGGTGATTTTTTTTGGTGAATGCAGATATTGGATGTCCGTACATTTCAATACATTGAAAATGGAGTTTCATGGCTGCGCACATTTTCATGGCTGTCCAAAGGGAGTTCCGCACGGATCAGTGGATCGTCTGAGGTGGAAAGGAGTTGGAGGCAGAGAATTCCACAAGCTCGGCGATCGGAATTCCGCCCTTTGATTCTCAGCTGCCGCAAGAAGTTGGAGGGCGTTGGAACTGGGACATTTGCAGTGGCAAAGTCGTTGACCAGCGAACGAATCTTGAGAATGGTGGCCTGGTGGTTGTTGTTGCTGCTGCTGTTGTTGTTGCTGTTGCTGTTGCTGTTGCTGTTGTTGTTGTAGTTGTAGTTGTTGTTGTAGTAGTTGTTGTTGTTGTTGTTACTGTTGTTGTTGTTGTTGTTGTTGCTGTTGTCGTTGTCGTTGTCGTTGTCGTTGTCGTTGTGGTTGTGGTTGTGGTTGTTGTTGTTGTTGTTCTGGTTGTTGTTCTGGTTGTTGTTCTGGTTGTTGTTCGTTGTTCGTTGTTCGTTGTTTGTTGTTTGCTGTTTGCTGTTTGCTGTTTGCTGTTTGTTGTTGTTGTTGTTGTTGTTGTTGTTGTTGTTGTTGTTGTTGTGGTTGTGGTTGTGGTTGTCGTTGTCGTTGTCGTTGCCGTTGTCGTTGTCGTTGTCGTTGTCGTTGTCGTTGTCGTTGTTGTTGTTGTTGTTGTTGTTGTTGTTGTTGTTTGGTGTTTGTTGTTGTTTGTTGTTGTTGTTGCTGCTGCTGCTGCTGCTGTTGTTGTTGTTGTTGTTAGTGTTGTTTTCTGAGATTGACCATGATTTCCAAGAGTTTTGTATGCCATAGGCAGAGACAGACATTGCATCCAAGGCCCTTTTTTTTGAAGCACAGTCAACACAGCTCAATCCTTGCTCATTTGGGCGCATTGGATTATTGCACAGCTGCAGGGTACAGCAAAAACTAATTCCCGCTTTGTTACTTTCCATCCAGCATGAATTTTCTTTCTTGCGGATGGCCTGTCAAACTTCACTAATTGTAAGGAAGGGAGCTTAGCCCAGATTCCTTCCTGCCACCAGCTGCAGGCCATGTCATCTCAGTCTCTTGGCAAAGGAGGTTCCGATCAAAATGATCAAAACCAGCGCGAAATTGGAAGTTCTACAGCTAGATTCTGAATCAGAAGATCACCAACATTGGCGGATATCTAAGCGCCACACCTAGATGCTTGATTTTGGGATATGGTATTTGTTGATCTGGTTGGTGACCGGTGCTTTGGGACGTAAACTTGACATGTCCCATCCTGGGATGGCGCAAGATCATGGATTCCACCAAAAATCCCGATGGCAGTAGGGAAGCAATCATATACCACCCATATTTTGAATTATTTTGATGTTTTATAAGTTTATACCATCCATTTATGGTAAGTTACATTTGGGGATGGTTTAGCATTGCTTTACGAACACTATTCCAGATTCTGCAGTAAGAAAAACATCGCCTGCGCTAAAGGCTGGAGAATTGACATTCGACACGCACTCATCATTAATATCCCATAGGATCCATGTATGGTATATATGCCAACATTTGGGGTATATTGATGGTAAATGTTAGCATATAAGCATACATGGATCCTATGGGATAGAACTTCTTTGAAATTATCGAAGGAAGTTTAGAAGTCAAACTTCCGACGATATGGACAGATGAAAAGCAGAGGTGGAGCAGAAGAATAGAGAAGAGAAGAGCAGAAGAGAGAAGATCAGAGAAGAGAAAGAGTCAGAAGAAAGAAGATGCAGGTGCGCGAAAAGGTAGGAAAGTCGCGAAACACTGTGTTTTTCCAATGATTTGTGGCTCCGGAAAAGTAGGCTCGCTAAAGCAGCGGGTGCGGAGCCAGCTGGCCAGATGAGAGATGATAAATTGCACGCCGTTGTGGCGCAAAGCAGATTTCCAAGTCAAAATGTACAAAACACACCAGGTTCGGACCACTTTTGTCACTTTTGGAAGTTGACATGTCGAAAAAGTGCATGCCGCTGTGGCGCGAAGCACATTTCGAAGTCAAAATGCACAAAGCACTTCAGCTTCGGAACGCTTTTAGAAGTTGCGATGTCGAAAAAGTGCACGCTGTTGTGGCGCGAAGCACATTTCGAAGTCAAAATGTACAAAGCACACCATGCTCGGACCACTTTTGGAAATTGAGATGTCGAAAAAGTGCACGCCGTTGTGGCGTGAAGCACATTTCGAAGTCAAAATGTTAAAAACACCAGGGGTTGGGACCACTCTTGGACGTTCAGATGTCGTTTCGCGTGGCAGGCGCAAGGGATTGTGGACTTTGTCAAAAGTGAGCAGAAACGTGAGGGTTTTGTAGCATTCCCAAAAACGATGGCAGGCCTGGGACATTTGAAGAGGATCTGCAAAGATGCATTTTCCGTGGCAGGCGCAGTACAAGAGACATGTTCATCAGAGCTGTTAGGAGGTCCGGGCGCTGATTTCCTGAGAGGGGTTGCATTTTGGAGCATCAGATCTTCAGGTTTGTGGAAATGATTTTGCGTGACAGGTGCAGCACTTCGTATGATCTGGCATCACTTTTTCGTGGCAGGCGCAGTACTTCAGACAGGTGGACTGGAAAAATCGCAAAACGAATTGGTACGAGGCCGTCAGCTCTGCACTCAACTTTCCATTTTTGAAGGATGTCTCGCAGAATTGTTTCGTTTTTGATGTTGTCAACTTCGAAAATGAGGAAGTCTCGCAGAATAGCTTCGTTTTCCAGCTTGCAGATAGACAGATAGACAGACAGACAGACAGACAGAGAGAGAGATAGATAGATAGATAGATAGATAGATAGATAGATAGGTAGATAGATAGGTAGATAGACAGACAGACAGAGAGAGGGAGAGAGAAAGATAGATGGATGGATGGATGGATGGATGGATGGATAGATAGACAGATAGATAGATAGATAGATAGGTAGATAGACAGACAGACAGAGAGAGAGAGAGAGATAGATAGATAGATAGATAGATAGATAGGTAGATGGATAGATAGATAGATAGATAGATAGATAGATAGATAGGTAGAGAGACAGACAGACAGACAGACAGCGAGAGAGAGAGAGAGAGAAGAGAGAGAGAGAGAGATGGATGGATGGATGGATGGATGGATGGATGGATAGATAGATAGATAGATCGATGGCTAGACAGATAGATAGATAGATAGATAGATAGATAGATCGGTAGGTAGGTAGGTGGGTAGGTAGATAGGTAGATAGTCAGAGAAAGAGAGAGAAATAGAGAGAAAGAGAGGAGACCTCAACCACCTTTGGGTCCATCAGTGGCTTCGCTCTGCCATCCGTGATTCACAACAACCAACCTCTCCTATGTGTTTCCTATTTTTGAAACTTCCGCCACCGCCTTGCGCGGTACTACTGGGAGTATATGCATTGATTGATGTATACATAACTGCATACACCATATAGGTAGTGAGGAGTTCCTACTTTAGCATTTGCAAAATGATTACATTAGATGGTCTAGATGTCACACATATCCAAATAAACATATCAAACGCTCGCACCGTAGCCAACAGAAAGGGGGGATAGTCCCGGGGGCAGATTTTCCTTAGGGTCCCAGTTTGTAGTCAGGCAGCATTTGGTAATCAAAGCTGACACCGGAACATTTACCATAGTGGTAATGGTAGAACAAAAGCACTATGGACTCGGTCAATTTTAGATACTTGCGTATTTCAATTGGTTGATAGGGACTCACCAGCCAAAAAAATACAGAGTATCTGAGACTCACAAGGAAAACTGTGGCCACCAAGGCTCGCAACCATTCGTACCTCCGACGAACCTGCTCCTTCAGCAGGCTTTGAGATGGGGATGGGTTCGCTGGAAGTGGTCTCACTAGATATTGTAACTTGGATTTGGAAGTGTAATCCCATTCCCGATTCATATCAATTACACACTTACACTCCCGTAGAATGTTGTCTTTCCCCCATAGAATGTTGTTGTTTTTTTTCCCCAGTCAGCCATTGTTTCTAGTGGCTTTTGAAAATTGAGGGAATTGGAATACGTATGATTTATGGTGGGCAATCTCCATAGTTAATTGGATGTGTTTTTCAGAAGACTTGCAACTGGAGGCTGTTTTCTTGTGTTGGTCATGTCACAAAATGTGTTCGAAGAATAGGTGGATTGGTGGTCTAAGATCTTGGGCCACTTGGGGTGGGGGGGTTGTTTTTTTTTCCCAGCGGAGCCCTGAAATTGAACGCACACACCACACATTTTGGGATACACCAACAGTTCCATATGGTAAGGAACCCCAAAACAGTCAAATCTTTAGAGGGGTGCGCTCTCCCTTTGGCATCTAATTCAAGTTCTTTGAGCCTTTCAAGATCCCCTGGAAATGGTGGAAGCAGGTACCGCGGAACCGTTAGATAAGAATCAAATAAGAATTTTCCAGCCGACCCATGCCTACCATTGCCTACCCATGCCTACCCTGGGTTCTCAAATTGTGAATGATGGTACCCTCAAGTTCTTAAGGGGTTAGTTCTTAGGGGTGTAGTTTGTGGCGTTTTATAGGGGGACGAAGCCAGACAGGGGTAGTGCACAGTACCCTGAGGAAAGGCAAATAAGAACCAATAACCACAAATCCCGCGTGCCCGAAAATTCTTATTTCAAGCAGAGGGTAGATTCGAGGTGAATCCAGCAACCCACCCCTGAAGTTCTTAATGCAGTGAGTTTTTTAACAATGGTTTCGCTGTAGCATCAATCCCATGTGCTCCATGTATGAAGTAGTTACAAATATTTACCAACATTTTCACCCCAAAATTCAGCCAACTGTACCTGGAGGATTTACCAACATTTAGCCTAGAATCTAGCAAATAGGCAAATAGTCCATACATGGAGCATCACGGAGCACATTTACTGGACTTACATATTGGCTGTTTGCCACAGGACTATTCTCTGGTAATCAAGTGTGGCTGGCTGGGAAAACTGCTGGGAGAAGAAATGAAGTAACTGAGGGAGCTTTCCAGCAAACCATGAGTACCAGAGGGTAAAGCCACTATTCTATCATTCTTGTTTGCTGATTTTAAAGTTATATAATATATGCCACTCATTCCTGGAGATATCCCCCATAAAACCCGTTAACATCAACTAGATCCAGCATTTTCTCCTGGGGAGGCTATCCCTCTCCCATGGTGTCCCCGACCAAAACCCGCCAGGAGCCGACGTGTCATACTCCGGAGAATCAGAGGCGGAGTCGTCTCAAGCGACCATGAAATCCACACCCCTGACGCGGCTGGGCGAAACAAATACGAAAGGATCCATGGAACTGGGTAAATCAGAGATGTTCTTGATGTGATTTCATGGTGATTTTGTATGATGTTGATGATGTTGATGGGATATAAGTAACATGAATTAACGAAGAATATGATGCCTGGACCAGGAAATGTTTCATAGTTGGAATGCCTGGAATGCTTAAAATGACTAGAATATATAGATATAAATCTGATGTTTGGGGTTGAACATGGATCCAGTTAAAGACTGGGAGATGGTGAGATTGAGAAGAGTCGAATTGTCACATCAGTCACATCTCCTGATCTTTGTCAAATTGTCCTTAAACAAATGGGACCCCAAAACAATGCTTTGTCCAATGCCAATGCCTATAGCTTTTGGATGGATATGCCACATTGATTTGGGAATCATTGGAATCATTGGAATCGAAGATATGTTTAGGCACTACAAAAAATGGAATATATCTAGCATAGCGTATCAACAATCAACAGAAACGGGGGATTGATCATTTGGGATGATACTGAACAAAATCCAAGTTTCCTGGAAAAAATAGGATCCTGGCTGCTGGCAAAAATAAATAAAATTACTGGAAACAAAATAAAGCTGCCCTGATCCTTTGGCCCCCCGGTCCTCTGTCCCCTGGTCCAAACCAACCTCAATAAAACCCAAACCAACCGTCCTACATAAACATCCCTAAAACGAACTGAAAGAAGCACCCAAAAACATCCAAACAACTCCAACTAGGCCCTAAAATGACATCTAGAAACCTAAACCAAAACTAAATAAACATGAAAACAAAGTCAAACAAAACCAACCATAAGTCGGCAATATATAAGACAAACGGACACATAAAGAAGCACCAAAGTAACCATAAATGAAGACTAAAAACTTAAAGAGTGCAATCCAAATAAACCCTTGGCAAAGCCTAAATAAGCTATACAGTAATACCACCCATGCACAACATAACAAAAACTGAAATAGACTGCAAAACTACCCCTAAAGTCTAAACCAACATTCAATAAGAGAAAGACAGTTTGCCAACGGCTTGTTTCAAGGCGGCAAGTGCTTTTGGTCGACATGAGTGCATGCTACAGGAAAACGCACATGAAGACGTTATTGCCCCCCCAACCAAACAAGAGTCAAGACAAGAGAGAGGTCGACATGAGTGCGTGCAAGAGACGACGAAGTTTGGGCAAACCCCCTGTCTACCCAATATGTTGCAAATACCACGAAATATTTCAGATAATCCCAAGTGTAGTACAGATGCTGGCTCCCAGATGCTGCGAGCACGGTGCAAACAAGGGATTCAAGGCCAAAACGCTTTAAATACAATGCAAATTGCATATTTAAGTTCCAAAACCCTGCGCATATTCTACAAACAAGAGATTTCAGCTGCAAATAAATCTCAAAGATTCAAGGCCAAAACGCCTGAAATACCATGCAAATTGCATGTTTAGGTTCCAAAACCCTGCGAATATTGTACAAATAAGAGATTTCAGCTGCAAAAAAATGTCCGAAGCATAGATTCTTAGGTTTGTTTTTTTGCAGAGTCTTACGTTTTTTTGTCCAGTGTAGAGAGTAGGGGTGAACCGTCCTTTTGTTTTCCAGTAGTCAAACGGTGTTTTTTTCCTGGTGTCTACCCTGATACTTCTCCCTTTGGTTGATGAATCAACTGATAGCCCCCCTTGAACCACCAATAGGTAGACGGCAGATGATAGTGTGTATATTTAATATTTGTGTATATATATATATATATATATACATATGTATATATATATATACATATATCATATATCATATACATATATCATATATCATATATCATATATCATATATCATATACATATACATATACATATACATATACATATATACATATATACATATATACATATATACATACATACATACATACATACATACATACATACATACATACATACATACATACATACATATACATACATATACATACATACATACATACATACATACATACATACATACATACATACATACATACATACATACATACATACATACATACATACATACGTACATACGTTACGTACATATGTGGTATATGATGTGTTCCCGCAATCAAAGCTGGCACTTTTAAGCCCATGGTTGATGTATACATGTGTAGAAATCGGTTACCCTTAGAAATTCCAAGCCAGCCATGTTTGATTCCCAGCTGGGTTCGGCAAGAACTCTGCTTCCCTCGAAGTGATGATGGGTGTGTGATAGAAAAAACTTTGAAGAACATTGCCTCAAGCACACAGAAACATACACTATTTCTTATGTTTGATGTATGTGTATATGCATATATTATGTCACATACATGGCGGTTTCCATAAATGGGGGCACCCCCTTGGTTGGATGGTTTCTAATGGATAATCCCATCTATAAATGGATGATTTGGAGGTACCACCATTTCCGGAAAGCCCCATTAATTATGTATTTAACCTTGTATACGTGTGATGAATGACTGCTGCTTGGACTCCCAGTATCGCTCTGATCTTCCGTCGCTTCTGATGTGACGGAATTATTCATTTCTCGCTTAAGCGATGACGGATCTATTTCCACAGTTATGGCCATTTATTAGTTACAACTGGTTATAAATGGGCTTATACATTCTATAAATGGGGTTATAAGTACTTATAACTGGTAAAGGGTCTTAACTGCATGAAGAGCCCCCCCAAACAAAAGTAGAAATCCCTGACCCTCTGGGTAGTAAAACCTGGCAATGGTATATCTTCCATGGATACTTGATTTTCCGAGCTATGAACCTCCAGTTCGGGGATTTCACAGCTATCTTTGATTTTAAAGGTGACCTATTCATAGTGAGATTCAGAACAGCTCAGGACCGTGAAAGAAACTTTATCCTCAAGGCTGGGGAAAAAACTGCAGAAGGATGCAGCGTATGGATGGCAACAGTTTGATCTGTGGCTGTGGTGCCTGTTTTTATGCTGGATTTCAGCCCCAAATGCTGGCTGTTTCAATCGGGAAATTTTGGGAAAATGATGACAATCCTGGATTTGCAAGTGCCCAATTTTCTCAGACAAACCTGATGGAAAAAGCCCGGTTGTTCCAGGTCCGGTGTTTGGGTAAGGTCCGGCTTTGTTTGGAGAAGTGATGGGATTTCACCCCCGGTTTCTGGTCAGGTTCATGGAGGAAATCTGGCTTTAGACAGTTTTTTGGGTGGGTTTTGAGACCTTTCCATTTTTTCATTCAAAGGGGAAAACGATGGGATTTGGTTGTAGTCTGACGCATAAAAGAAGTTGGAGTTGTTTCTCTCTTGAAAATGCCAGATGTTTTTCTTCGGGAACATCTCTTTTGCAGTGATTTCAATCTGTTTTTCATGATTTGGGGAGTCACAATTTCCATGGTCCCCCCCCCCCACTGATTGTTCACTGCCATTAATGTCTACTGACGTATCGACCATTCCGTGGTGAGTGCGGAGAGAGGCGCTCCTCGGAATCGCTGAAGGATGATACAGAATGTTACCCAGAGGCGGGAAAATCTGTGAGAAAGGACAGATCTAAATCCTACTGTGGATGGTTGCGAAATCCTGCACCAGGCAGGGTAGCTATTGGGATTCCTATGGAACACTGTAAATTATGGGATACCGTGATAAACCATCTACCAACTGGTGCTGGATTTCTTTCATCCACAGTAGGTTTGGGGTTAACCATGGGTCCAGGATATTTTCTGCAGCCGATAAAAACTTGAATGAATAGATTCGATCTCGATCTCACTCACGTCGTGACGTCACCAAAATCATGATTAGTAGGGCTAACATGGGCGAACTATCTCTTAAAATAGCCTTAATTTGGAAAGTACCTCTACTTTTCCAGATCCTGGACCAAGTTTTTCTTTAGTGGCTCATGAGCATCATGACATAACTACCTTCATCTACCTTCCAGAAGCTCATAAATTTTGGGGTGTCAATCCCCCAGACTTAGATGATCTTAGACATCCCAGTGGCTGGTTAAGAACCCATCTAATCCATGCTTCTAATTGGGGATATCCAATATGATTTGGTTGGAGATGTTTTTTTTTCTGAAAGTGATGCCATTTGCTCAAAGAACTCAGGGATTTATCCAGGTTGGTAATTTGTACATTCGATATGCAATTTGGATGGAGAAAATTTGCATAGAAGCCGGAGACTCGAAGTTGTTATTTGTTTTACCACATAAAGCAGATCATGGGCCCTTCAAAGTGGATCAATTGGTATGTATATAATATAATATAGTTATATATGTATACATGTATGCATGCGACCGATCATATTCGCGTGCCAGTTGCTGTCTACTACGGACAGAGATAATGACTCGAGGTGTGGTTATTGCAGAGAATGCTATAGGTGACTTTCTGAACGGCAACTTTGCTTCACAACTCTCAGCCGACAAAGCCTGGCGATAATTTGAGTATTGACACATCCAGGTTGTAAGACAAGAAGATGATGATGTACACCGCTGCTGCTTCATGATCAATTGGTGAGACTGTAAATGATATGTGATAGTGCCATACTGTGCCCAGTTCGGTTGGTGGATGGGTACGCTAATTGAGAACCATACCCACATGTGCCATGGTCAAGTTACATAGTTTAAAATTGTTCCATCAGGTCGGAGATGCTCATCTCTCCCATACAATATATCCACGAATTCTTGGAATCCCTTCTTGGAACTGCAGTTCTACTTCGAAGTAGATATATAATGATATTATAATGATATTTTATACATATATATATATATAACCATAGTTATAGCGTCAATATATCCCGTCTTGTGGGGGAGTCCATAGCACCATTGTTTTTTGGCAGCCATAACCATTGACCAATGACCATCCAGGATGTCACGCACGATTTCCGCGAGGAGGATCTACCGAAGGCCGCACGGCACCTGGCATCTCTGACTATGTGCGTTATACTCATACCAAAGTAAATACCATATAATGCCATTAAAATCATTA